ATGTAAAAAATGTAAAAAAAATGTTTACATACATTTGGTGTTAGACGCTAATATCGCTTCTTAATTCAATACAGTTTTACATTATGTTGTACTTATTATTTGTATTTTATTGTCATTTGGATTATCGATCATGTTATTTTGTATGTTAATATTTATAAAATAATATTATAAAAAAATAGATATTTTACAAAATAACATGATCGATAATCCAAATAACAATAAAATACAAATAATAAGTACAACATAATGTAAAACTGTATTGAATTAAGAAGCGATATTAGCGTTTAACACCAAATGCATGTAAACATTTTTTTTACATTTTTTACATTTTTATAAAAAAAATATCCAAACAATAATTATTTTATATTTTGTAGTTATGAAAGAAAAATTTAATAAGATTTTATCATGAAATAGTTATTAACATTAATTAATATAATTTAAATAACTATTTAGTAAATGTAAATTTTTGTTCTTTGAAAAATATATTTTCATAACTTTATTGATCTGATCTATCACGGATATGTATTCATTAACATCAAGTAATCATGGATCATCACGATCAAGTGTTTGCAGTTCCTGATCACAGAAGTTAAGCAACGTTGATAGCAGGCGTGGCTTGGATGGATGATCGTTAGATTTGAATATTAATTTCGGAGAAATAATCCCCTTACAAATACCGTAAATTGTTTTTTTAAATGTTCTATAATGATTTATTCTAATTTCATAAACGTTTATTTAATCGTTATTTTTTATTTTTTATATCCTATGGACACGTCAGAGATTCTTAGTATGTCCTCCAATTTCATAAACAGATATCCCATGGACATCCAGTGGATGTTCGAAGGACCTAAAAGGGGTAGCTTATGGATATCCTCAATTTCCTTCAAGGATATCTTAATTATGGATCCATAGGACATCCGTGTGCTGTTGGGTATGTAATTTTACATACTCTAGCTTCAACGAATTGCGAGCCGTTACTGTCGGATTCAACGCAGCATTTGATTGAAACAGAACCGTATCATCACGCTGTTAAATAATTTAATGAGTACTGATGTTTACTTACATCTAATAAATCATCCCCCCCCCCTTTCGTTGCGACTCCAAATAAATGCTGACTTGCATCTATATGATCTACTCTCCTCGAATCTGTAAAGAATTTATTGCGAAAAAATATTATTAAATTATTTAACAACGTGATGATACGGTTCTGTTTCAATCAAATGCTGCGTTGAATCCGATAGTAACGGCTCGCAGTTCGTTGAAGCTAGAGTATGTAAAATCACATAGTTATTTAAATATTAACTGACACCTATATTTCGCTCGTCTTTGGCTTCTTATCCTAACTAAAATATTATTTGTCTATTTCTTTAAGTAAGACTTTTATATGATGTTGAAAAGTATCCTATTTTTCGATTCACTCCAAACAACCTTTTAATTTCTATTTAAATTACATTTGATCGGATCTATTTTCGGCGTTTTGACTAGAGCTGATGATTTGCTCAAAGACTTTTACATTTGAACTTCGAAACTTTGGCATTAAATCTTCAAAGCTACGAAACTTCAAAATTTCTATACAATTCAATCTTCGAAAAATCAAAATTTATATACATAATTATTGATTTAATGTAAGCTAATAGTACAATACCGTGACAAATACACATTTATTTGACAAAATCCGAAATAAAATTACTAATGTTACAATTAAGTTGTAGAAAAATACGTATAAAAATTTCGATTTTTGTTAAATATTAATAAATATTTCTTAGCGTTTCGAATAAATTCACCATTCGTATAAATATACCTTTCGAAGTTTCAAAGCTTAAAAGTTTTGAAGGCACCTTAAACTTTGAAAACTCGGAATTAACTTCGAATATTTAAATTCTTTTGAAGCTTCGAATCTTCGAAGTTGTCAAAAGTAACAATCCTAGTCTCCTATAGAATCCGATAATGGGGTTGATGGGAGTAAGAGACAAGAATGTAAATCACAGTATGTCAGACATAATCACGAGATGTTAATTACCGTAGTAAGTGGTGCCCCAGCCGACGACCGTCGGTCTGGCGCCGGCAAACGGTTCCCCGCGAAATCGCGCCTGCGGTAGGCAAATCGGTATCACGTACGGCGTCTTTCTTACGGGTCTGGTGAGCTCGAGGACGGCGATGTCGTTGTAAAAACCAACGCGCGAGAATTTTGGATGCGCGTGAATCTCCTTCACCGCATAAGTCTCCGGCGACGAGGGTTCGTCGTCGTTCTCTAGATCGATGTCGCCGAGACGCACAGTGAACTGGCGGGCGGCGAAACTGTAATCAAGAGATATTACAGATTTAATTTTTAATTTATTTTAATTTATATTTATTTATTTATTTGACTTAATATGTGAAGTTCTTAGCTGAGGAAGACTCTGTGTAGTCGAAACGTACTATTGTGTTTTATTGATATGTTTAAGTAAAAGAATTTTTCATTTTTACAACCATATTGTATTAATTTGCTCGTTTCTTGGCTTTTCATTAAACTCTTTTTGTTTGTTAAGAGATATTACATTTCTGTGCAAAAGATCCATTTTATGTATCCAATTATTTTCTGCGTAAAAAGCCTATTTTATAACTTCGTAGAGAAAGAACAACTTTTTTCCAGCTTTATTAAGGTAAAAAAGATTTTATATACATATTTTTTTTATTATGTAAATAAACCGTTTTATCATTTGTACAAAAATTTAATAAATAAGATATAAAAAAATTTATAAGATATATAAAATTAGCGTCAACTTATAAAAGTCATAAAAATAAGAACTTTACAAAGATAAAAATACATAAATTATATAAGAAAATATTTACATAAAATATATACGTTGTGCAAATGTGTTTTTCTTTTTTCCTAAAATATTTAAAACGTAGTGTATACTTGCAACTTTTGCTTTGCTTTGATGACGCCTCGTTTCTTTATCTTTCAATTCTAATAATTACAAATATCCCTTCAATTGAAATAACATAAAGAAATTTCTCGCACAATTTCAACTGGAGGAACTTTTGGAATTATTCGATGGGAGAAAAAGTATACTTTTCTATTTTTTTTATTAAAGAGCTAGAGTGAGAATTTGCGTGGATTAGATGTCGATAGAACATTGCTTACTGCCGCTGTCGCTGATCACGCGTGCAATGGGCGGCGGTGAGGATGTGACGTGGTCCTATCAACGATCCCCCGCACCAGAATTCTGTTCGCCGGGAGCCATGAAGGAAGATCGCCGCCATCCAGGGCCAACGGCCAGGTAGCGCTTCCTCACCCCCGACCACTCGGTATCTACCTGAACTCGTCACTCCGCACTCTAAACAGATCAATATTCTTCGTTTCGAAAAAATTTCTTTCAAATCTTATTACAATAAAAAAGAGTATCATCCGATACAGAAGAGTGACCCAAAAAATCACCCGTTTTTGGAACCCTTGATTTTGAGACTGAACTGTGTGTTAAATGATACCTTATAATGAGACATTAATTATAGAGAAGTTTCAAATTGAGATGACAATTGTTATCAGAGGTTCCTAGAAAAGGGAAGGGGGATAAAATCAAAGTTCATTATAGAATTATCATAGGTCTGCAAGGTCCGATATTTTAAGAAGGTTCACCGCAGTTTTACGTAAATGACGTTCGTTTTAGATGTAAACAAAAGTTAAGTTTTCGCTTAAAGAGACGTAATAAGTGACCCCTATCCAGCTGTGATAACAATTGTTACCTCAACCTGAAACTTCTCTGTGATTAATATCTCATTATAAGGTATCATGTGACATACAATCCAGTCCTAAAGTCGAGAGCCCAAAAAACGAGCGAAAAAATCACTTTTTTTAGTCACTCTTTTCTTTCTTTGCTTTCTGTTTTTAATGCAAAAAGGTGTGCTGAATATACCCTCGTCGTCTTGAATAAAATTGTTGTCGATCGTCGCTATTGTCTCGAAGCCATTTGTATTGTTGAACGAGTCCAGCGTTGAAACAATATGCGCCATGGGTCTCGTAGTCGAGGATGTCACCGGGTATAACGGTATCGGCCGTGGTGTGGGGGCTTTCGTAGGCCGAGTCGTCGGTCGTGGAGGGTGTCCAACGTCGATCCCAGAAGGATTCGTACTTCCAGTGGTGCTGCAATATTCATTCACCTGAATTTCTCTCGAGAGATCTTTGAGAAGAATTATAATATATAATAATTATAATTTGAATTATAATGAATATTATAATATATTTTAATGTTACAAAAGTTCTCTTAAAATATGAGACGGGCGACTAATTAGCAAATAACGTGAATTCAATGAAGAACTTACCTCGGAATGGAGGGATTGCTGATTTTATCCACTGGGCAGCAAACTCCTGGCACAAACAGACTCTTGAAGCAGAACGAGTGTCTCAGTTTGTTGAGGTCGAGCAGCAATTGCGGACAATTGCTGAGGTCTTGGCATTTGCCGGATCCACCTTCGGCCGTCGTGCACACGGATGGGACGGACTTTTTGTCTCTATTTGCGAGTTCCTCCGTGGACAATTGCTGTTGTTGTTGCTGTTGTTGGACCGACGGCGCTTGTGTGGGGGATGCGATCGTTTGTCTTAGAGGTAACGCAACGCCGCGCACTAAGGGCGCTATGCTGTCTGTTACATTGCGACCTGGAAAAGAGGTTGAAGAAATTCATATTTGAAAGCGTGTAAGAAAATAATAAAATTCTTTAGCCTTTATGATGTCTATGTAGCAGATACATAATCTTGGTGAAAATTCTTAGAGAATTTCTTAGGGAATTTTATACATAATCTTTCAGAATTTATATTGTATAAATTTTGAAATTTTTGTATAATTTTATAACTTTTTAGAAAATTTCTCAAGTTTTTTTTTATACAAATTGGAACACTTTCAGAAAGTATGCTGAAAACATTTACATCCTTCTTAGAATATATTTTATATATATATATGTGAATTTTGAAATATTCTAATTGTGTGTGTGTGTGCGCGCGCGTGCGCTTTTAATGTTTAGAATTTCTAATTCTATAATTTTCGAATGAAAATCTAAAAAAGTTCAAAATATTTTTTGTCATAATAGATATATCCCATTTTTACGAATTTTTCATATTTTAAATTTTTTCAGAAATCCTCATAAATTTAAAATATAAAAAATTCTTAAAAATGGGATATACTCGTACCTATTATATGAGAATATTTTCACTAAAAAACTATAAAAATAAGATTTCTTAGAAAAATTTAATATTGTAAATATTAAAAATTCTCTAGGGAATATTTCCAATATCTGTATTAATTTAGCAATTTAATATATTAGTTTACTAGTTTAACTAGTTTATTGATTTTTTTCATATTACCTAAAATATTTTTGGAGATGGTATACAAGGCCGAGGGCAGCTCCTTTGGCGGATAATCCGTGATCTCGACGCCCTTTGTCATATTGACGATATAGTTGCCCACTGTGTTCAGAGCGCCCAGGGTCTCGCTAATAGTCACCAAAGGGTCGCTCTGCTCGTGCTCCACCTTCACTAGCTGCGTGTACGGGCGTACTTGCGTGTCCCTGCGAGCGTATACCGGCCTGTTCGATCTGCTCGGTCCGGCATCCCAGGTGTGCGGCCATCCTTTCGTTGCCGAAACGTACGAGTTTCTGTATCCGTACGCTGTGCGATTTTTATCTCGTATAAGTGGAAAGCGGGCCAAATCGTTGTAATAATGATAAAAATATATAGATAAAGAAATCGCAAAGCAAAAGAACTCTGCAATCCTCTGCGATCATCATGGCTATCTCATTATATCGTCAGTAACATGTTTATCCGCGGACTCTTGCGGGAATTGCATAATTAATTCTAATCGTCGTTGATTATTTTTAATAAACTCTGCTGCAACCTCGTTTTCGTTTGTGTCCCCAATTCAATTTCAATTTATTCACAAATATTTTGAGATGCGTTAGGATTTAAATATTCGGGCGAAAATAAATATCGAAGTGCACAAGTCGAATGTAAGGGGAGAGTAACAGAAGCGTAAACAAAACTTCTAGGAAACGTAAATTGGAACAGTGGAACGTAAAAGAAGCGTTTTAAGAAGTAAACATTCCGTTTCGTTCCAATTTACGCTCTTCCTAGAAGATTCATTTACGCTTCTGCAACTCTTTCCTCACATTTGACTTATGCTCCGAGTTTTATTTTTGCCAGGATTTAAAGAAATGACGATGGTGACGAGAGATCATCGGAACGATGTAGTTATTAATTCCATTGAATCGTCGCGTGTAGCCGTAGGTAAAATTAACAACAAAAATGTTTCTATCGAAACAAAAGTTACTTACGGTAAGTGCGATAATGCACGATTTCTTCGGTGTACGAGATCGAACCGGCGAATAGACTCCATATTATGCATAAGCCTGTGAAACGGATTAGATGTGAATTATGCGTATAATCAATAATATAAATTACATACAATTAAATTTAACATTTCACGAACGTCGTTTCTTACAATTATACAGTGTGCTTGGTATAGATGAAATAAAAAAAATATATATAACTCGCGCGAAATTATATTTCATAAATTTATAATTTTTTGCATAAGTTGATACCATCAATTGTTTGTTTGAAATTTATTTATATTATTTTGCATTTTTAAGAAATAATTTCTTAATGTACAAACACATAAAACAAATATATATGTATATAATTATATTATATACATATGTATATAAAATATCAAATATGTTCATGTTTTCAGTCTTCTATAATTTCTATCTATATTGGAAAAATAATAATTATATTGAATATTAATTTGAAAGATAACTTTAATGTTGCTTACATTTTTTTACGAAAAAAAAAATTATGATTCGATTATACAATATTTTATACAATTATAAACATATTTAATTATATATATAGAATATTGAATAATTTATATCACAATTATTTTATAATCATATAAAATTCTATAAATATATAATTATATACAATCATATATAACTATAGGTACAAATAATCGCATAAAAATGTATTAATCCTGTATTTTATATACAATTAATATATTTTTATATATTGTTTGTTCAAGTAGTTGTTTTTATTTTCTTAAACTTTACTTTTTATTTAAAAAAAAAACAATGCAAAAAGTATTCTAATTATTTTTTAATACTATTTTTTATTATTTTTCCGGTATCTATGCGAACGATTATATAAGAGAAGAAAAATATATACAAACATATTTTACATATAATTGCATTTTTTGGATAATTTTCCTGAGTTGATTTTATATAGTTAAGTAAATACAGTTTTTGATGAGGTTTAGATGAATAATTCTAATAATTGAAAATTAATTAAAAATTATTGGATGAGTAATTTTAAATAATCAAAAATTATCGATTTTTGTTACGGAAACGTGAAAACGATCTCGATATTTATTCATGACAATTACGAAGTCACTCGTAGTCGTCTGTCATCGGGAACACCGTAATACACGTCTATAATAAACGGGCGTGTTACAAGTTACGTAATGTGAAAACGTATGCTGGAACATTCTTGGACTTTCCAATCTTCTCAGAATTTACCGAAATTTCATACGCAGAAGTGACGCATCGCCATTTGCGTCATTCGGCCCTCGAGATAAAAAGGTATGTGTATATACGCGGATCCGGATTACTTTCTCTCTAAAATGAAAGAACAGATATGTAAATATAATTGCAAATAAACGCGTCTGACATATGGCAAATTTATCTATTTTTATTATTATAAAAAGCACGGAACGCGTTTAAGAGACGTGAAGGTCCCACGACTTATGGAGAACGCAAAAGAAATTTCGGCGATAAGAATTGTACATTAATTGGTAGCAAACGTCTCTAATTAATCCTGTATAATTACTAATGAAACGCATAATTAGAGTTCGATTGAACATTCGATTAGCCCGAAACGCAATTCCATTTCGACTTTCTTTTAGGCGGTCGTTCTTGTCGAATTAGGTGAAATTAAGTCAAGCGCGCGTTGAACATCAATGCGTTTTGAACGTCAATTAAATCTCCCGGAGCGCGCGTTTAAGGTGGTTTTATCGCTCAACGTCAACTCGATAGTGTGACGTTGTCACATAAACGTCACACAATCGCATATGCACAGTCTATGCAAAATTGCAAAATGTTTTTATTGAATTACGTTTGTTTTTATCTTAGAACATATATATTACTGGAAGGAGAATTGAGTGCTGAACATGAAACCAACATCTGTGCGAGAGAGAAAGGTATAGATTCCCAAATGACTGTAATACGCATGTGCTATTCAGCCCCCACTCTGCCCGTTTTGCTTAATTTCTTATTTTTCGAAAATCTTTTAAAAAAAAAATGAAAAACAGGGCTAAGTGAGGGCTGAATAGCACATGCGCATTACAGTTAAATGGAAACCTACACCTTTCTCTCTCGCACAGATGGTAGCTTCAGCTCGATACACGGATGGTATAAACAATTTTCCTTCCAGTAGTATATGTTCTAAGGTTTTTATTAAATTATTAGTCATATGGACCCATACAGAACATAATATCTGTTAGATATCTATTCGATATCCTCATATCCATGATAGGATATCCATAAATCTCTAATAAATAGCTAGTAGACATCCTCTATACATCCAAATGTCCGCAATATGAGATCTCAGAAATATCCATAAGATATCTAAGCCAATCGATTACATATTTATATACCCAAATAACACAAAAATGATTAAAAATAATGATTAAGTAAATGTTTATGAAATCAAAATAAAAACCATTATAAAACATTAAAAAAAA